CCCCCCCCCCCCCATCCTCCAAAGCGCAACCCACAACACCCCCCTCAAGCTTACCTTTACGTCAAATCGACAGATGAAGACCGAGTTCACGGACGAAGACCGAAGGCTGGCGACGGACCAGACGGACCTGAGGTACTGGCCGAACGACACGCAGGCTCACGTGGTGCGGAAGATGATTCCTCAGCTGGGCTACCTTGCCCGCGGCTACGATGAGCCGGCGACGCTGGACGGGCCGATCGGTACCAACATGGTGACGTTGCCCGGCGTGCTCACGCCTCTGCAGTGGGACCCCAAGAGGTTAGTTGCTGTGTTGTTGTTGTTGGTGGTGGGTGTTGATTGTGTCCATCAACGTTGTTTGCGTTGCTGTTATGGCAATATTATTGCGGATGCCCTTTGCCGCTGTTCTGGTTGGACTTTTTCCCTCAGGCAACACTCAATGCATCGCGCTTCCCAGATAGCACATGATAGCAGGTATCAGATAGAAACAAGACCAACGTTACCCCTCAGCAACAGCGTCGATCGATGTTCTCCAGGAACTTGGTACCATGAAAACACCATTAGCAACAAACTTCCACCTTCGTGCCAGCTCGGCATAGCACCACGCATACAGTAGCACCAGCACAAAACAACCGGAAAGTAAGGAGAAGAGATAACCATAGAACAACCCGCACAACAGTGTCCCTCTATTGTTCTGATTCGTCGTGTGTATTCTGTTTCGTCATGTGCGGTGTGTGTGTTTCTTTTTATTAGCATCGACCTCGCTAACCGGCTTGACCAATGACAGACGTCGCTTTCCAAGTGTGGTTGAAGACAGGAAGTGCCTCTTCATGCCGTCATCGTCATGTTTGTGTGTGTGTGTTGATGTTGCCGTGATCGTCGGCGTCGTCGTGGGGATGGCAGGAAAAAAGAGCCTGAGGAGTACGGGGGGTACATGGAGAGGGACGACGACGAGTTCCTCGGTGAAGAGGAGGACGAAGTCGAGAGCGACGGCATGATCGACAGGCAGAAGGGGCGGCGGCTCATTCCGGGATGTAGCACGGTGAGTCAGTAACGCTTGGAGGGTTCCTGAGTTATCCGAATAAGTTATTTAGTCCATTGGGTAAGGGGTTTTAGAGATGCCTGGGTTCGGATGGGCGTGTCACTCGGGTATTGTTGTCCGACGATAGCACCATGAGTGCCATGCAGGGGGCTACCGCTGCGGCTCAATGGCCAGGAGATGAATATGGTTTGACGTTGCATCTTTTTGGGTACAGACCGTCCTGAGACTCGGCCACGTACAGCAGTACGCCCTCGGCTGACCCTTCCGCTGAAACCGTCAAGGTACAGTATGCATATCCGTTTTCCTCGTACCCGCTCGTGCCTCGTCCTCCCCAAACGAGTCGAATCGACCGAGGCAGACACTCGAGATGATAGGTTAATATGTCAACCGTGTCAAACCGTGAACTCGAATGGCAGCCAAAGAGTCACAAATGCCTTTGTTGGCCCACGTTAAAACTGCCTCCCAACCCCCAATCCCCGAAAAAAAGTCACCATCCCAAATCGAACAGCAATCACTCTCTAGATTATGAATCGTAGTACAAGCACGGTCACGAAACACCACCACAAACCACCAACACCACACCCGAAAACGCCTCCCTTCGAACATGACATTTTTTAAGCGTGCTCTTGTCCCTTCTCCTCCTTGGAATGGCGTACCGCAGACGAGGACCGGGAAAAAACGAAAACCCCCAATGAAATGAACGGTAGGAAGAGCACGGCCACACATTACACATCAACGATAAACGCCTCCGTTCTGAAGTGAGTCGTCCCCTCGTACCTCGCCCTCCAGGCCGGCTCCTCGTTGGAATGGTGCACAGACGAGGACCGTGAAAGGATCCTCGAGGTAGGTTTCGAGTGGGACGAGTTCGGTGACGGGTTCCGATGGGACGACGTCGTGGCCGGCCTTACCCTCTACAAGACCTTGTATGGGGAGCTCCCTGATGACGACTTCCAGGTGCGGGTGGCGTTGATTGGTTGGCTCGTTTGTGCGGACCGGGTTGTTGGGGCACCGTGGTTTGTTTTTTGGGATGGTCTGCTTTAGGTCTCGCGATGGTGGTGGTCCAGCAAGGAGTTATATTTCAGTTAGACTTGGAAGCCCGTCGATCAAATACGTCGGGTCGACCGGCTTTGAGTCAAGCTGAATTATTAAATTCTCGTTGAAAGCGCCTGTTGTCCTCTGCTTTTTCGTCATTTTTTTCACGGTAAGCACAGAATCGAGGCATGATTGTCTCTCTCACATAGATCAGAACCCAAGATCCACTAGCGATAGTTTCCTAGTGATAATTTTGGTATGACCTACCTACAGCAATAGTGATACTCTTATTTTTTTTTCCTTTGCTCAATCCTCGTTACTTATTATTAGGTGCCTGTTGACTACGAGTGGCCCATCGAGCTATCGGGGATGCAGCTCGGGAGTATCTGCAAGCAGATGCGCATCGGGGACATCTGGGCCAAGCACGTGAGACACAGACACCTACCACGTGCCATGGGGATGATGCTTGGACGAGAGCCGGCACGATTTCTTTGTGATGTGATGTGATGTGATGTGATGTGCGCCGTCTTGAGTCGACGGGGCGGCACAGCGGCTTGTGGTGACTCATGCCGTTCTGCTGTGCAAAACGACTCATGTTTCTTCGATATTTCTTGTTGCTTTCAGTTGTGTTGGGGCGGTGTCACTGTTTCTCAGTATTTCACCCGCCATATCGCCACAACCTTGCTGTCCTTGTAGACGACCCTGACGTCACTGCGGTCGTACACGTACCAGCCCCCCCCCCCCCCTTTTT